AAGAATAAAAAAATGACTTGAACTTCCCAGGGTTTGTGTTTCTCTATTTGTAAAATAGGGCTACTCAATATATGATAGACTTGAGGGGGGTGTGAGTCTCCTCTAGTTCCTTGACCTCCCCTCATTCCTTGCCCTCCCCTCATTCCTTGCCCTCCCCCTCATTCCTTGCCCTCCCTCATTCCTTGCCCTCCCCCTCATTCCTTGCCCTCCCCTCATTCCTTGCCCTCCCCCTCATTCCTTGCCCAGGAGGAGTGTGACCTGAGAGGCACCATTTGGGATTTGTCAGGAGCTTATATGTGCTATTGTTTTAGGAACAGCAATGTGGAAAGAGGAGATGGCCCCTGAATCCTGCAAGAATTATAAGGAGGACGGTCTGGGTGCAAAATGGGTACAGAGACACAGCCACCTAGACTGAGTCCTCACATGGGCACGCTAATAAATATCTTCTCAGGCCACAAAGAAAGCATAATTGTGTGATGGTGGGAGCAGAACTGAGGGGTTTAAGTAACAGACAAGCCCAGAGCTTTCTGTAGGAGGAGGGGTGACATTTTAACACATGTGCAATTCCAACCTTTTTCCGTTGTAGCTTCTGTTTTTCCCTGAATTCTTCCATTTTCCTGGCTTCTTCTCTTAGAGTCTGTGCAAGCTGAATGTGACACTGAGCCACATTGTCTACTTCTGCAAAAAAAAATTTTAATAAAGCAATAATCATACTCTATATCTATAGTCAAATACACTAAAGTATACAAAATTATACACACATAGTCACAAAAGATGGAAGCAAGTATTAAAACCATCTGGACACCAACATTTACTAAGCTCTTTCAGGTGCCTGGCATTTCCCTGGCCACCAAGACCAACGCTCCAAAAGCCCTTACCTCAGCCTCTGTCCACTAACTGTTCCTAGCCCAGCATATGGCCAGAGCTGGGGAAAACAATGCAGCCACAGCTGCAGCTCAGAAACTTGCACCCCAGGAAAGACTCCTAAGGCCATCATAATTTCAGATGAAACTCTTCATTGTTTTTAGACAACATCTACGGATCTTTTCATCTCTAACCTCTCACGACCCTGAACTTTTTTTTTTTTTTTTTCAGAACCGCGGATTGAACTCAGGCCCTTGCACTAGCCAGGGAAGCGCTTGTTCTACTGAGCCATCTCCCTGACCCCAATACCCTGAACTTTTATTAAAAAGATCACACAAGGGCCAGGGAGGTGGCTCAGTGGAATAAGCACTTCCCTGGCAACTACAAGGGCCTGAGTTCAATCCCTGGTTCCGCAAAAAAAATTAAAAATAAAAATAATTAACACAATAAAAGTTTGCCTTCTAGTAGTTATTATTGGCTAGAAAGACTATTGGTCATTTTGCCCTTATTTTCAAAGATCTTTACAGTGATCATGGCTTGCCTCTATAATAGACAAAATAAACTTTTAAATTTTACTTGTTTTAAGAAAACCAATTTAAGAATGGTATTAAAATTAAACTTTTTTGGGGGGCGGGGAGATGGCTCAGTGGAATAAGCACTTCCCTAGCAAGCGCAAGGGTCTGAGTTCAATCCCTGGTTCCGCAAAAAAAAAATTAAACTTTTTAATGTATTTG